ATTGAGGTCATGTTTTATACTCTGGGTTGGGTGGCCAGGTGGTCTAATGCGTACCCTATAGATCATAAGGTCTATCATTGAGTTAAGTGGCGTGGGTTCAATCCCACTTCTATGCCTTACATAGTCGGTCAATACCTACATTAGTATGATTGATACTCATGGGAAATATTCCCTTTTGTCTTGGGTTGGGTTGGATCAGAAGGTCTGTCATTGAGTCAAGTTGCGTGGTTTCGAGTCTCCGCTTGTACATGACAAGGAGTATGGTCGCCTTCTAGCCTTGTGGGTTCTCTTATGGTCCCCTTGTTTCCTCCGACTGATAAAGACCCCTACGCGCAATCGAATTATTGAAACAAAATTACCCCCCCCCCTTTCTCTCTCTTGTCTTGGGTTGCGTCCCTTGTTGTTAGTTTGTTTTTCACTTTGAGTGAACCGTGTATTACTACAGACCCGGGACTGTACAGTGCGGTGGAAGCTTACAGCTAGCCCCCGAATCCATTAACACGATCTGATATGTACGTTTATCATCCAATAACACATTCTACAGTAGATATCGCTTGTGTGATAACTTTCATAATCTACTCGGCGATATCTCCTGCTTTACATGAAATTGATTGGTTAATAAAAAAGGTACTACTTTTCTATTAAAAAGGAACTACTTTTTGGATCTAGTAATATTGTTGGAGAAAAGTTCTTAATTACCGTAAACAATTACAATACTCCTCATAACCTTATAGCAAACATCGGGTCAATATAAAGGAATTTGCAATGATTGAATTGCTGTCAAAAAAATTGATGTATCACTACGTCGTAATGTTAACGGGTTCAGTAAAAGTGAAATCTATAGCAAAGAATTGTATTTATTTATTTGTGCATGTAAGAAAGGATTGGGTGATAAATAAATACACTTACTTGTCTTTTTTCAAATCAAAAAATATCAACACTCGTCGATAAATTAAATAAAAATCGGCAAAGCCTCGGGTTTTTTTTTAAACTTTATCGACGAGTGTTGATATTTTTGGATATCAAAAAAGACTTGTAGGAGTTTCTATATTTGTTGTTTGATGGTGTGTGTGTATGTGTATAGTGTGTCTGTCCGTGGGTTTGTCTTATGTGAAATGAAATGAAATGGGGTTTAACGTCCTACTGTTTTGCTGCGAACTGGGCTAATGAAGACGGGCATACGCCGTACAGTGTGCTAAGATGGAAATTTTGCCCGCCCGGACAGCATCACTAAGGCCAACTCTTATATCGAATTCCAAATGTCAATGGATCTTTTACGTGCATGCCAGTGTGTACACGGGACCTCGTCTTTTCGTCCCATCCGAACGACTAGACAGCTGTCCTTGTCAAGTCCTCCGTCCTGCATCACTGACAAGGGGGAACCGGAAAATCTGGATGAACATTCTCGGCCAATGCAGGGATCGAACACCCGACAACGCGAGCCAGCGTCTTACCCACCTAGCCAGCGTGACCCCCTTGTCTTATGTAATTGTTTGTGTTTGGTGCAGTCCTCCTGCACTCACTGATACCAGTCACAGCGAGAAAATATAAAGTCGTTGTTAGAAATAAAGATTTATAAATTTGGTTTTGAGATGTAAAGAATTAATAAAAATAGTCTTCAGCATAGTGATTAATGGTGAAAGAGATTTCAAGTTTGAACAGACATCAACTCCTGGCAACCTTTGATTAACGGGAATCATTTGGATTTGGAGACAAATTTGGGGATTGGGTAGAAACCTTTGCAGCACTTAGAAACTAATATATACCGAGGGATATGATATTTACGATTGCATGGCCGCCATGTTGAAGTATAAATAATGTTTTATTTATCGGTAAACAAAACTTCCTTTATAGATAAATATAACTTTGGCACCGTACAACAGACTGGCAGATTATAGACATAGAACATGGCGTCGTGTGTCAATAACCATATAGCCGATTAACATTTAAAGAGTGTTTGGTTTATATCCAAATATGTGTAAAGTTGGCCAGTTGCAGTATTTAACAATATTCTGAATGATTGAATGATCTTCTTGTTGTTGGGTTGACGATCTTCTAGAAAACGAACCAAGATCAGGCATGGGGTTGAATACATTGCAATATAATCGACTAAATTACAATAACTTTCATATTTGTATGATTACAATTACATTATGATTATAATTACATTATGTTTACAATTACATTATGATTATAATTACATTATGTTTACAATTACATTATGTTTACAGCTATTGTTAATGTAATTGATAAAATACTTCTAAAATATTTAAGTCATGAATAAGTCAGGAAAAAGTCTGATCTTTTTATTCAATGTACAATATAGCATATCAAACGCAGTGATATATTGAGGATGGGTGACTCCATGGCGACCCCCCCCCCCCCACTCAGTTTCAATACATTAAAAGCTCAGTATGTTACAAATTATGCGTCGGTATCCGACCCCACTCCCCAATCCTTCAAATGACTTCGACATCCCAGCCCCCCCCCCTCACGTCTGACAAATACCCTCGTTACAGCACTGATCATAAGCATGCGCAATTCTAGTTAAAGTTCTATGACAAGGTGGGATACAGAGAGAGAGAAATGGGCTTTAACGTCCACTCGACACAAACTAGGTCATTTCGGGACTAACATATGGTTTAATTTTATTTCAATAATTCGCTTACGCGTACGGGTCTGTAGCAGTGGGAGGAAACCGGAGGACCCGGAGAAAACCCACGAGGTTGGACAAGGGGGATACGGTGAAAGATGCATTAAGGTTCTCCTATAATAGTTTAAACATAGATTATAACAAATTAATATATTGATAATTTCATTCAAATAACGTTATTCTGGGCGAAATTTAACGTGTCGAAGGTATAGCGTAGATTGTTTATTATCGTGACAACGTTACTTGTCAATCGAGCCTCAGCCTCGTTTCTCCTTTTTAAAATTCAAATGTCGATCCCCATTTCTCTGTCTCTCTCTCATTGCTTGTTATCAGTAGTAATACGCATTAATTGCTTGTTATCAGTAGTAATACGCATTAATTGCTTGTTATCAGTAGTAATACGCATTAATTGCTTGTTATCAGTAGTAATACGCATTAATTGCTTGTTATCAGTAGTAATACGCATTAATTGCTTGTTATCAGTAGTAATACGCATTAATTGCTTGTTATCAGTAGTAATACGCATTAATTGCTTGTTATCAGTAGTAATACGCATTAATTGTATTTTTTAGATGTTGTTCAGTTCAATTACTGAATGATATGGAAACGATTTATCACGAGCAGCCATATTGCCAGCAGGTCCAACTTCAAAATCACAAACCGGGCTACGATCATTTTGTATATTTAAACCCGATCTTGACAACTCGTTAAATATCCGGTTAATCCAGTAAAGTAGATAACAGCTATTGCCAAGAACTTCCGACTGGGTCCGGGGGGTTGGATGGCTGAATGGTTAGCGTGCGCGCGCTGTGTCATAAAGTCTGTCATTGAGTCGACTGGCGTGGTTTCGTATCCCCAGTTATACGTGGCAAGGAGTAGGGTCACCTGTCCAACCTCGTGGGTTTTCTCCAGGTCCTCCGGTTTCCTCCCACTGCTAAAGACCCCTACGCGCAAGCAAATTATGTAAATAAAATTAAACCATGTTAGTCCCAAAATGACCTAGTTAGTGTTGAGTGGACGTTAAACCCCATTTCTCCCTCTCCCACTCCGACTGGGCCCCACTTGCCATGCAGGGGACATTGTCGTTCCGTTGCCAGCCATTGGCAAACAAGACAAAGGGAAGTAACTCTTTCAGCATAGTCTAATTTATTATACAAGAGAACACTATAAGTGTATTAAATAAAAAATAACTCAAAATGAAACATTATACCTTCACAAGCCGTTATGGTGGCACGTATTGTAAGAAGACATGTTATCTTTTGATTTGGGATATGGGGGCCTGGGGACTAACACCTGGTTTAATTTTATTTCATTAAATTCACTTTTGCGTAGAGTCAATAGCAATGGGAGGAAACCACAGGATGGACAGACGACCTACACTTTGTCACGTGCAAAAAAAACCACGCCACTTGACGACTTAATGACAGACCTTATGATCTAAAGCATCACGCTAAACAGTCAGAGTAGAACAGTAGATGGTTATTTAATTTCATCTTTTGAACCCTGTCAAGAAGTTCACCTAATAAACACCCACCCCAAGTTTAAACATTCTAGCTCAATTAGAACGAGATATCATGCCCCAAAAAGCCTGACAGACAAACCCATTTTAAATAGTCCTTTGCTTGCTTCGAAAGAAATGAAGTAGGATCTAATGTGTACTGTCCGGCACCGACTGGACTAATGAAGATGGGCATATGCCATGAAGTGTGCTATAAGGGAGATTCTGACCAGACAACGGTACTACAGCCAACTGACAAGGGATCTGTTACGTGCATGCCAATGTGTACACAGGATTCCAGTTTTCCATCCCATCCCAACGACTAGACATTTATCCTTGTCACGTAGGCAAATCCCGATGAACTTTCTCGACAAAGACAGGGATCGAACACCCAGCCTCCAGGCTAGCGAGCCAGCGCCTTACCCACTTTGCCACATGGCGTCTAAAAACCAGTCGTGTGTCATTCTGTTGATGTCTTGAAACTTAGCGCGGGAGGGGGGGATGACCGAATGGTTAGCACACGCATGCTGTATCATAAGGCCTGTCATTGAGTCAACTGGCGTTGTTTCGAATCCCCGGTTGTACGTGACAAGGAGTAGGGTCGCCTGTCCAACCTCGTGGGGTTTCTCCAGGGTAAGCAGAGTGATGAGAAATTTGATTGGTCCTTTGTCAGACCCTCCGTCTTACACCACTGACAAGGGAGAACTTTCTCGCCCAACACAGGGAACGAACACAGGACCTCCAGATAACGAACCATCACAGCTCCCTTCCTTTGAAACAATAGAAAAACACAAAACACTGAAACTAGGTTATGAATAAAAAGGAATGAATTTATTGATAAAAATATTGTAAATGAAATTTTTTTATTTTTTATTTTTTTTAAATTAAGGTGTGAGTTTAGATTTTGTAGAAAAAGCTAACCACCAGACCAAGATGGCGACACAAGCAGCTACGAATTCACTTTGGATATAAGTACCTTGCCACACTCCCTGTAAAATAAAATACATTATTTACATGACTTAATCATTTTCAATGGCTAAACTTTCATTTTGGTCACTCAAAAATTTTATGGAGTATTTTTTGTTTTTTTTAGATAAGAAAGGTGTTGAGAAGTGGATAGAAGTTCTTCTATAACATATTTTGAACTAAATCAAAGAGGTTTAAGGTTTAGCCCATTGGACTTAAGTTGTTAAGTCGCATTGATGCTTTAAGCAGACCATGGGGGCTTTAAGGGGAGCATATAGTGAGGCATAGAGGCTTTAACCGGGGAATGGATGCTTTAAACAGGAACATTGACACTTTAGGGGGCATGGAGGCTGTAAGAGTGATATAGTGGGGGATCAGCATGGAGACTGAAGAGGAGGGGGGACATGGAGGCTTCAAGGGGAACAGTGACACTTCATCTACATGGACACAGCTCACCAAATATTACTACGCCGTCACCCACGAAACAAGGGCCAAAGCTATTTTTAGTTTTTCTCTCCCTTTTCCCCCTTTTGCATGGCGATTTTTGTTGACATTTGGTGTAGAATCGAAGAAAAGGGTTTGAAAATACATTTTATGCCAGGTTTTGGTGAATATTCATAATCTTAAGGCGGAAGGATACAAGAGTTGAGAGGTTGGTTAGGTTGAAATGTAGGGTCGAAAATTGCATGTTTACTTGTCTCTACTTCCAGCTTGTGTATCTCAAATTTTTCATGAAGAATCTCATACGTGCTTTTGGGCAAGAGGTTGTCACATGTTGCTCCATCTGTGGTAGAAAGCGTTCTATCCAACGAAAATTTGGGGAAAAGTTAGAGCCGGTCTAAGATACGAGAATTAACATTAAAGTCAATGGGGAAATCTTTAGTGATCTGTGGCAACAAGGGAAGTAACTCTGATGATAATATAAATAACTTACCCCATGGCTAATGGTTATAGTAAATAGAGGTGTAATGGCTGATACATCTTCATTATTTCTTCTAGCCTGAAATATAAAAATAATAAAAACAGTCAGAAATAAAGTTTACCTCGACACATTAATTGTATTTCTACTACATTTCTCATTTTATACATCGGGATTTCAGGTATATCAAAGTGGGTTAACCCCACATCGAGATTGTCCAAATCCCTTATAAAACAAGCCAACATTGAGACTGATGTCCCCTGTTGAAATCCCAAAATAAACAGATGACACATAGTGGTGTGTCCAGTGGTGTAAGTAGAAGGGATGGGGGGTGGGTGGGGGTGGGGACAATTTAACTACGTACAGATCAACACCCATAATCAGCTTAAATAATAATGTTAAACATACATTATGCAAGAGCTAAATCTGTCAATTGCAGGTCTTTCTTTAGGCCGGAAATGTTTTCTAAATTATTAATTAACTTATCCAGACCATAATCAACTCTAGATGACATCGCTAGCTTGCGATCTTTAGTGGATTATGAGCCGATTTACTTCGTAACTTTCCTTCACGATTTAACGATTAAATGGATAATCGAGACTATGCTGTTTATCGTACTGACTTTAGTAATGATGAGCGAGGCTAGGCAGAAATTTCAACCGCTAAGTTCTCGGTTCATAGTGGATCAATTTGAATGAAAATATCAGCAAATTGCCTTTACAGTATCTAGTTTTTAACTATTATAGTGAGAACTGCCAACTCGTTATCGAATTTCCAATAATGTATCTTTCAGGCCTCGAAATTAACGGCGGCCACCGCGGCTATTGCCGATTCTGCCCTTTCAATTGGCCGCCGTGCCCTCAAAATCTTCACTTTGTCCACGGCCACTTGTGGTCGTGGTTGCCGGACATCTTAGCAGGGATGCCCCTTTCTGATCCAGTAAATAAAACGTCTACATGAGCCACAGATCTGGCCAATTACATATCGTTTTTGCCCCAATTCACATCGCCATACTAATTAACAATGTATACCAGTATGCCAGAGGCAGGGGCCTCAGATACTACAATACATAATAGTGTAAGGGAACCAGAATAAGCTGAGGTTGGCCGAATATGAAGACGTATGTCGAAACGCGTGCGCATTCGCACTACACGCAAAACAAAAATCTACAAGATAAACCTGCGGACAAGACAGAAGATAAGCATAGCACCGAATAAACAAATATCAAATCAAGTGAATGGATCCGGTTGATAATACACATGTAGGGGCCCGCATACTATGGAATAAGTTACACTGTATTTGATTGGATGAATTCCGCAAAATGGCACGTGTAGCAGTCATTTCGGCTAATGGGAAAGCATATTATAAACTGTAAGACAGTCGCTAATATTCAACCGCGAACCTGAATAATCAATATTTTCATTGGCTAAAATTATAACACATGTCATTTTTATTCAAGTATTACCCAATCATATCTTGTGTAATAAATAACGCACGCCTTACAAAATGGTGAGCTATGCAGGGACATAGGTAAATTCGCATACCGGTCGGCCTAATTTATTGATGTTCAATATGATATTGATGTTCGTTTCTGGAGTTTAACAAACGAACGGGACCCCTATTTATTTCCTTGAACATCAATAAATTAGGCCGACCGGTACGCGAATATCTTATCTCGACTCGACTTTGGTGGATATTCCCAGCACTTTCACGTTCGATGATATTGTCGAAACAATCTATAACTCAACAAGCGAATCAAATTTCGTCAAACTGGAATGTTTCCATTGTATTGTAACACAAGAATACGGAAAATTTATATATCAAAATATGGTTATTTCATTTTTTAAAAAGTTAAACAAAGAAGCCACTTGTTACCAAATTTTAGTTTGTTATTAAATTTATTCAATTAAATATTATCTGTGTTTTTATCCTAACCAATAATATAACTAGATTATTTATAATTCTAAAAATGGTACACAACCCTAGCTCAGACTGTATAGGTATTATGCCAGACCACTTTGTGTTTTGAAACCCACTTTGTGTTGTGTTTACCGCACTACTGCACATGATTGCCAGAGTGGTGGCAGGAGAAACAAGGAATCAATTCAACACGGCCTTATTAAAGTACACCAGCAATTTAAACAATGTCTTACTACACGTAGTACACGTCATATTTTTTAGTTCCACCCCCCCCCCCATTTATTTTCGGTGATTTATTCGGGAATATTATTGATGTGAACTTCCAAGTCAGTATGTGAATTAGATATGAAAAATTTTCTGAACGGTGCACTGTTTGCCGTTATTTTTGTATATTATAATTATACAAGATTCTCCACAACAAGTTACCAAGAATTATTTTTGTTAAGAAGTCTGTTTTTATCAAAGGGAATGGAATGGAAGCTTGCAATTACCCTATTCCCTGTCCCGTTTGTTTCAAATTGGATTAATAACCCTGTTTTGCACTTTAATACAAACGTTGTAATGTCAGAGTCCTTTAGTACACCACATACTGATCCTTGATTAAGTCAGTTATAAAGAAAAACACATTTTTGCCTCGGTGCCCTGCCGCTGAAAACATTTTTGGCCTTGATGCCCCAATCATTGGCCTTGATGCCCCTAAATTTGGCCAAAAACCCGTGGCCAAACTGGCAGTGCCCTAAAAAGATTAGAATTCGAGGCCTGATCTTTAATAATTTAAATATCTTGTAACATTTAGACAATACCAAAATATAATATTCTAGTCCCAAAGGGGGATCACGTGGCTAAGTGGGTAAGACGCTAGCTCGCTAGCCTGGAGGTCGGGTGTTCGATCCCCACATTGGCCGAGAAAGTTCATCCAGATTTTCCGGCGTGGTTCTCCCTTGTCAGTGATGCAGGACGGAGGGACTGACAAGGACAGCTGTCTAGTCGTTCGGATGGGACGAAAAACCGAGGTCCCGTGTACACATTGGCGTGCACGTAAAAAATCCCTTGGCAGTTGGAATTCGATACAAGAGTAGGCCGTAGTGCCGCTGTCCAGGCAAAATTTCCCTCATAGCACACTGTATGGCGTATGTCCGTCTTCATTAGCCCAGGTTAGGAGCAGAACAGTAGGACGTTAAACTCCATTTCATTTCATTTTCTAGTCCTAAAAATCTAATGCTGGAGATTTTTGTCTTTTTATTTATTTCTAATCGTAACCAGGTCACTTGACTGACTTTTGACCTATACCATTCGCCAACCCAATCACTCTAAACCAGAATTTAATTTTTAAACTATAGATATTCTCACCTTTTTTAAAGCAGAAAATCCTTCCACCCCCCCCCCATTTATTTTCGGTGATTTATTCGGGAATATTATTGATGTGAACTTCCAAGTCAGTATGTGAATTAGATATGAAAAATTTTCTGAACGGTGCACTGTTTGCCGTTATTTTTGTATATTATAATTATACAAGATTCTCCACAACAAGTTACCAAGAATTATTTTTGTTAAGAAGTCTGTTTTTATCAAAGGGAATGGAATGGAAGCTTGCAATTACCCTATTCCCTGTCCCGTTTGTTTCAAATTGGATTAATAACCCTGTTTTGCACTTTAATACAAACGTTGTAATGTCAGAGTCCTTTAGTACACCACATACTGATCCTTGATTAAGTCAGTTATAAAGAAAAACACATTTTTGCCTCGGTGCCCTGCCGCTGAAAACATTTTTGGCCTTGATGCCCCAATCATTGGCCTTGATGCCCCTAAATTTGGCCAAAAACCCGTGGCCAAACTGGCAGTGCCCTAAAAAGATTAGAATTCGAGGCCTGATCTTTAATAATTTAAATATCTTGTAACATTTAGACAATACCAAAATATAATATTCTAGTCCCAAAGGGGGATCACGTGGCTAAGTGGGTAAGACGCTAGCTCGCTAGCCTGGAGGTCGGGTGTTCGATCCCCACATTGGCCGAGAAAGTTCATCCAGATTTTCCGGCGTGGTTCTCCCTTGTCAGTGATGCAGGACGGAGGGACTGACAAGGACAGCTGTCTAGTCGTTCGGATGGGACGAAAAACCGAGGTCCCGTGTACACATTGGCGTGCACGTAAAAAATCCCTTGGCAGTTGGAATTCGATACAAGAGTAGGCCGTAGTGCCGCTGTCCAGGCAAAATTTCCCTCATAGCACACTGTATGGCGTATGTCCGTCTTCATTAGCCCAGGTTAGGAGCAGAACAGTAGGACGTTAAACTCCATTTCATTTCATTTTCTAGTCCTAAAAATCTAATGCTGGAAATTTTTGTCTTTTTATTTATTTCTAATCGTAACCAGGTCACTTGACTGACTTTTGACCTATACCATTCGCCAACCCAATCACTCTAAACCAGAATTTAATTTTTAAACTATAGATATTCTCACCTTTTTTAAAGCAGAAAATCCTTCTTCATCATAAAATCTGGCTTCATAATTTCCTGATCTTAGAGCTTTATATTCGTCAGTTATAGTAATTTGATATTGGTTTGTTACAGTTGTTCTAACAGCTGGAATCATTCTACCAGCAACATCAGCAAATAGATTTATATTCTACAAATATACAAACAGATTAATATACAAACTACAGATTAATATTCTTATCAGGACTAACATACATGTATGGTTCAATTTTATTTCAATAATTTACTTGCACGTAGAGGTCGTTAGCAGGGGGAGGAAACTCAAGAAAACCCACGAGACTGGACAGACCACCCTACTCTTTGTCACATACAAGCGGGGAACCGAAACCACGCCAGTTAACTCAATGGCAGAGAGGGAAATGGGGTATAACATCCACTCGACACAGGTTAGGTAATTTCGGGACTAACATTTGGTTCGAATTTATTTCAATCATTCGCTTGCACATAAGGGGTCTTTAGCAGTGGGAGGAAACCAGATGACCCGGAAAAAACCCATGCGGATGCGGTTGGACAGACGACCCTACTCCTTGTCACGCACAAGCGGGGATTCAAAACCATGTCACTTGACTCAATAACAGACCTTGTAATTTCACATGAATGCCTTAAACTACAAACCCCCCAATATGGAGTGAAGAAAGTTAGCCATACTATATAAATTCAAATATAGTATAAAATGAAATGGGGTTTAACGTCCTACTATTCTGCTCCGAACTGGGCTAATGAAGATGGGCATACGCCATACAGTGTGCTATGAGAGAAATTCTGTCCGGACAGCAACACTACAGCCTACTCTTATATCGAATTTTGAATTCCAACTGTCAAGGGATCTTTTACTTGCACGCCAATGTGTAAATGGGACCTCGTTTTTTTCCCATCCAAACGACTAGACAGCTGTCCCGGCCAATGCGGGGATCGAACACTCGACCTCCAGGCTAGCGAGATTATAGTATCAAACAATTTCATTTCTCACTCAGATCAATGAGGATATTCCATTATAAGACACAACATGATCGAACAGCCAATTTAATTACAAGTAGCTGATTATTTGGTAGGGCCCTGTGACACTTCCTTATATGTTTCGTAAACCCAGAAAGATTATAACTCCTAAAATCAGGAGTAGTAGTGCCCAACTTAAGCTGTCCTTATACCCAAAATTTAAGCCTCGACAGACCTACATTAGCCCCCAACCGTTAATATATTATAACTTCAAAATAGGAAGTAGTACAATGTCACAAGGCTATGTCATGTTACCCAAATCAAGTTACTCATATATCATCCCAGTCCTGGGGCATTCCCTTTTATTCCCCAACCCCAAACAGACAAATATATATAAAAGTTGTGTTTACCTGTAGGCCATTTTTACATGTTAGCGTAAACTGTGAGATAAATACGGTTTCCGTAGAAACAGTTGTCTCTGATGTTGTGTAAGTTTCACTCCTCACTACTGGCCCCAAACATACATCAGCTAAAAAAAAAAGGAATGAATGAATGAATGAAATGTAGTTTTATGGCACGTCAGCTCCAACCGGGCTATATTGCGCCAAACATATGGTGAAAAATCCAAGACAAAATAAAAGAAATCACAGAAATATATTTATATCCATAAATAAAAACAAATATCACAGATAATATATAAAATTAAAAATAAATATCGCGATTCTTCTGCTCACGAAAAGTCGTCAAGTAAGTCAGAAAAATCGTCCTACTGAGTCCGAAACGTTGCCTGTGTTGAGTTACGAAATGGCGGGGGACCGAAATGCCGTGATACCCTTAAATTTATGCGTGGTCAACATCGCATCGATGTTATGCTTATCAGTGATTGTCGCGGTCTAGCGAATATTCACTGCTGATCAGTGCGAAACGTACCAAGAACCAATATTAAACTCACATAAACAGAATTCAAAAGAAAAGATTATCTATAGGTAATTAGCAGGTATACATAGAACAGAGATGAGCTACCTTCTCTATTTTTGAAACAATCATGATACGAGTTGAAATAATGATGGATTTGGGTAAATCTCAATCTAATCAATAATGAACCTTTCTCGCCGGAGTCCATGTGCAGCACTGTTAATCTGATTGGTGGATAAATATACCAGGTACCCTCTCATATAAAATTAAAAATCATTATTTAGATAGGGAAAAGTGTACGCTTGTTGTTATTTTGCAATCTGTTGGATTCAGCCGGTGTTTGCCACGCACACACTTTTCATAAACACTGTAAACAGACGAGATTAATCGGGTTTTTCTGGGTGTCCTTAGAATATTTGAACACAGGAACGATACGAATAGTATCTAACTTTCTGAAAACGTAATCAGATAAAACAAAATGGCCATACCCGAAGTAAAAACTGTTAAAACAGCGAGAACTAATATCGTCAACATCTTGCTTGTGGTGGCTGCCATCTTGAAAGAGAACGTGTCAATAGAGGGCGTACAGAAAGGGGAGATAATTCTACAAGAACTTTGACTCGGAGGCCCCTGGGCAGGCCAGATCACAATCACGTAATAATCGTACAGGTGTAAATAATAATTAATGGCATATCTAAGAAAATCCCAGAGGGTATTTACATTTTGCACTGATCATAAACATTATCCGAATAAATAGGCGTACCCCAGGCTTTCTTCCTGAAAGATATCAAGCGTTCTTTTATTCACAGAAAATTAGACACAATTGAGACAGCTAGGCCACTATAAGCCGCAACGATTCATTTTTAAAGCCCTGAGCGTGAATACCTTGCAGACTACAAATATAGAGAAATTTAGAAATATCAGTCAGAAAATGGTTCGATTCCATTCATTATTTACAAATATATGACGAATTGAAAATTATATCGATCTATCGGCTCTATAGGTAACAAGCTCGCCGCCATTTTTATTTGCCGCCAACCAAATTGATGGAACTGTTTTTAACCTGATTGATCTAATGCGTGAGGTTATCTAGTTTGGTAGTTTGATTTTGTTTCTTAATTAAATGTTAATTACTCAATCTGGGCACATAATTATTCTGGATTAAGCCGTGAGAAATTTCATGTTTTCCGAAGTTCATCAGGATTTTCCGACGTGGTTTCCCCTTGCCAGTGGTGCGGGACGGATGGCCCGACAAGGACAGCTGTCTAGTCCTTCGGATGTCTACGAAACGCCGAGGTCCCGTGTAGACATCGGCATCCACTTAAAAGATCCCTTGGTAGTTGAAATTCGATATAATATGAGTAGTCTTATAGATCCCCTATTTGGGCATAATTTCCCTCATAGCACAATGTATGGCGTATGCCCGTCTTCATTATCCCAGTCGGAGCAAAACAGTAGGACAATAAACAATAAACCTTATTTCATTTCATTTCATTTATATTTTCCGAAAAATGCAAATCACACATTGTTACTTTGAGACATTTTAGCTTGTCACCGGCTTCTATTTATGGGTTATGTTTATAGACATAACGGCCATAAACTAAACGTGAATTTCGGCCAGTTTGGTTTATAATGACCGTCATCCACATACTTGAACAAAATGCCATCATGTTTATTATACATATAAATCGTAATGCAGCCTACATTCCTCATGTGACGTCGCCTGTCCAACCTCGTGGGTTTTCTCAGGGCCCTCCGGGTTCCTCTCACTGCTAAAGACCCCTACGCGCAAGCGAATTATTGAAATAAAATTAAACCATATGTTAGTCCCGAAATGACCTAGTTGTATGGAGTGGACGTTAAACCCCATTTTTTCTCTCTCTCTCTCTCTCCTCATGTGACGGGGGGGGGGGGGCGAATGGTTAGCACGTGCGTGTTGTATCATAAGGTCTGTTATTCAGTCAAGCTGGCGCGGTTTCGATTCCTCGGTTGTACGTGACAAGGAATCGGGGCGCCCGTCCAACCTCGTGGGTTTTCTCCGGGTCCTCCGGTTTCCTCCCACTGCTAAAGACCCCTACGCGCAAGCGAATTATTGAAATAAAATTAAACCGTATGTTAGTCCCGAAACGACCTAGTTGTATGGAGTGGACGTTAAACCCCATTTCTCTCTCTCTCCTCATGTGAAGGGGGCGGGGGGGGGGGCGAATGGTTAGCACGTTCGCGTTGTATCATAACGTCTGTCATTCAGTCAACTGGCGTGGTTTCGATTCCTCGGTTGTACGTGACAAGGACTAGGGGCGCCTGTTCAACCTGGTGGGTTTTCTCCGGGTCCTCCGGTTTCCTCCCACCGCAAAAGACCCCTACGCGCAAGCGAATTATTGAAATAAAATTGGAACCATATGTTGATCCCGAAATGACCTAGTTTGTGTCGAGTGGACGTTAAACCCCATTCTCCCCCCCACACACACACACACTCTCTCTCTCCCTCTCTCTCTCTCTCTCCCATGTGACATAGGGCGGTTAACAGCGCTCCATGGGCCTAATCACAAAATAAACAATTCGTGACTTCATATCTTTATTTTTTTTTATTAAAAAACATTTTTTTTTACTGTAGCTAATAGGAAGAGAAATATTTTTGGTAGAAAAAAAAAGAAAATGTAATTCAATAAATCATTATAAGAATTTATAGAGTGAAAAAAATGGAAATAATTTAGGTAATTTCAATAAAAATGCATAATGCATCAATATTATTTCTCCAGAGAAACGCCGATTCACATGGGCGCCGCCAATCAGCGCAAAATAATCTTGTATTTGACTATGTGTGTAATTCGAGCTTGAATGCCCAGATTACAAAGTGCAAGTCTACAGGGGAAACCACACCGGAAAATCCCAACGAACTTTCTCGGCCAACTCCGGGATCGAACAAGGGACCCCCAGGTTAGCAAGCCAGCGTCTTACTCACTGAGCCACGGCGACTCCCCACCTTAAATATGATTTGATATTCATATCAATAACATATGAATAACATTGAAGACAAACACCTCTTCCTATCAGAGGGGTATCTACCGCATAATTTTTACTTGTAATAGTCATGCCCTTCAAAATATCTTCGATGTGCGAAAATTCAAAAAATATATTTTACAGATATATCGAAGTGAAACACAGTTTTTAAAAAAAAATATAAATGATAAAAAATAAAATGTATTAAATAGTAACACTTGAAATAAAATAATAATTGAAATAAAATAATAACATTTGAAATAAATGATAACAAATGAAAACTATTATTAAAAAAAACAAATAGAATACATTGAACATTAACAATTGAAATATATTAAATTATTAAAATGACAACAAATGAAAACTATTATTAAATAACAAATAGAATATATTAAAGAACAACCATTGAAATACATTAAATAATTAAATAACAATTGAAAATTATTATTAATAACAAATAGAATATTATTAAATAATAACAATTGAGATACATTAAATTACTGATTAATAACAAATGGTATGTATTATCAAATGATAACAATTGAAATAAAATAATAACAAATGAAATTCATTATTAAATGATAACAAATATAATATATTACAGAATAACAATTGAAATAAATGGGATGTTTCTGAATGATAACAAATTAAACTTAGAGTATTATTGAATGGTAACAATTAGAATAAATTAAATAATTAATATAACTTAACTTCACGGTACGACAAAAACATCAATTTTGATTGGAATGGCCCAATAATTCGTGTTAGTGATGGCCCAATAATTCGTGTTTGTAATTGAGGTATGAGTTAGGATGTTAAAAATCCCGTCGCCCCTTAATACGGGAACCTGACAGAACCGAGTGAATAGAGCTAGAGGACTGTTACACCCCTTGCCCCCCCCCCCCACTATTCAACATTGAGTCACAATACGTAATACAGTGAATTATTGAAGATACATTACGTAAGAATTTGATAAAGAGCTGCCCGTTCTTGTTATAATAGTTCAAAAGTAGATAATTCAAGAGAGAGGGAGAGGGAGAGAGAGAGAGAGGGAGGGAGAGAGAGAGAGAGAGAGAGAGAGGGAGGAGAGAGAGAGAGAGAGAGGGGGGGAGAGAGAGAGAGGGAGGGAGAGAGAGAGAGAGAGAGAGAGGGGGAGAGAGAGAGGGAGGGAGAGAGAGAGATGGAGAGAGAGAGAGAGAGAGGGGGGGTTTAACTTCCACTCGACTCAAACTAGGTCATTTTGGGACTAACATATGGTTTATATTTTTTATTTCAATAATTCGCTTGCGCGTAGGGGTCTTTAGTAGTGGGAAGAAACCGGAGGACCGGGAGAAAACCCACGAGAGAGAGAGAGAGAGAGGGAGAGAGAGAGAGGGGGGGGGGGGGGGGGGGGGTAACTTCCACTCGACTCAAACTAGGTCATTTTGGGACTAACATATGGTTCAATTTTATTTCAATAATTCGCGTGTGCGTAGGGGTCTTTAGCAGTGGGAGGAAACCGGAGGACCTGGAGAAAACCCACGAGGTTGGACAGGCGACCCTACTCCTTGTCACGTACAACCAGGGGATTCGAAACCATGCCAGTTGACTCAATGATAGGCTGTATGATACAACACGCACGTGCTAACCATTCGGCCATCCAACCGCCCGGATAATTTAAAATGAATATATTGAAAATTTCATTCAAATGATTTTATTCTGAGCGAAGTTATGAGTGTTTGAAGATGTAACCTAGATTGTTTATTGTCCTAGCAACGGTACTTGACAACCAAGACTAAGCCGCGATAGTCCAATTTATCGTTAAATTTTTTCATCTCGCTTGTGTAAACATCTATGTTAATCTCGGCCATCCAACGATCTAGTGATTATATGCTTGTTATGTGCATAAATGTCTAAATAATAATTGATATAACATTTATATAAATTATTTATAAAAACACTAATATTGGTATATAAAGAAACGGTATTTAATAGATCTAGCGGATATAAATTACGTTACTATGACAACCAAATCAATTAAGAAATCATTAGAAATAAGATTTAATCAAATGAGAATAAAATGACTTTATAACGTGGGATAGACTGCAGGGCGAGTTGAGGTCCCCTGGGTAATATTGGTATAACGACTTTACAACGGTATTGCAGAAGATAGTGATTAATGAATCGTGAACTGTCGCGAAAAGCCGGAAAAGTACAAAACAAAAAGATGTACGATACCTACGAGAGAGAGAGAGAGAGAGAGGTGGGGTTTAACATCCACTCGACACAAACTAGGTCATTTCGGGACTACCACATAGTTCAATTTTATTTCAATGATTAGCTTGCGCGTAGGGGTCTTTAACAGTGGGAGGAAACCGAAGTACCCGGAGAAAACCCACGAGGTTGGACAGGCGAACCTACCCCTTATCGCGTACAACCTGGATATCGAAACCACGCCAGTTGACTCAATGACAGACAGTATGATGCAACGCGCACGCGCTAATCATTCGGCCACCCCCGCCCTACGGAAAAAGACTACTGGGAAGATGAAATTGAAACGATACCCGGTTAAGATTGGACGTGGCTTTATAAAAGCGAATTACTGTCGAATAGTGCCGATAATAACGGGATGCAATATTCACTGAAATGCACCCGCCCCCCGTCGTTCGTTAGAAATTACAGATCTATATTTCGTTTCGTTTTTTATACTTTCGATGGCCTACAGTACATGAAGATCTGACCAGTTATAGTGATAGGTCGCGTCAAAGGTCATGCGAATGGCTTTTGATCCTATGACGTCAGACATTTGATTAACCAATCAGCATTGATGTTTCTAGTGGATAAGCCACAGTTCTGTGCAAAACACACCCAAAGCTCGCCGTAACAGACCGTCTCATTGGCTAACCCCTCAAATTATCCAGAACACGTCAATGATAGCAACTCTTACAGATCCTAGTGTAGTAAAGACAAGTAAAACGAAATTTTGAACTATAAAAAAAAAAACGAAACGAAATAGGATCTGTGTTTTAATCAGATTGTTATGGTGTGAATATTTGCATATCTATAAAAGGGGAAACCCCAATAATTCTGTTTTGCTACTTTCCTAATAAATTAACAATAAAAATTAAACAATAAAAACAAATTATTTTTTTTTTTTTACATAGAACAGCGTTTGGCCTGCTTAGAATGTTGGCGAGACGACTCATAGGAAGACTATTTCGTTTTTCTGTTGTTTGCAAATGTTTGTGATTTGGAAGTAATAAGAGGTAGATAATAGATAATGATTAACGTATTAATAATAAAAACAATAATAAAACCCATTAAACCACTTCTAAAATTAAAAACAGAATGCTGAGATTGTCCCTCTTCTATATCTGTTCGTATAGCAACCAGATGCATAACAATGGTTACTAAAGTACATAAATGAAATGTCTGATGACTCTGGCCTATGTTGTCATAGTAACCGGGTCTCCATTTTTCGGGTAAATGTGAAGAATATACTGCCGCTGTCAACATAAATAAACAAATCACCAAGGTGATGTGATTTAAAGACGCCATACTACAGTTGTTGCTATAGTAACAAAGCCAGTAACGCGGGAACGCCGGCGCTGTCAACCAAACGCCAAATAATGCGTAAGGAATAATCATAAGACATTTCCGTTGCCATGACGACGTGTTGGTATATTTGATCTTGCCGATTGAAGTTATCACGAAAGTAACGGTTGCCAAGACAACTGTGACAGGAATGTAATACGGTTCCAATATGTTGTACATTTCTCGTTGTGAGCAGATATACATTGAGCCAATGGCTATGGAGTAGCTATACAGGGTGATGCCTGAGTAGTCGAAGAGAAAAAATACGTAATGACTTTTTATAGATTTAGAACACATTAAATGCGCAAATGAACTCAGTAAGGTCATGGCCACACAGCCAATAGAAAACATCAATATTTTCTTCCCGTCTTCATTGGATAAGAGATCGTACGTTTGTCCGTAATATAAAGTTTGTAGGATTATCAAGATGGCGGATAAAAGATGGGACCAGACGGTCAGAGTTTCATTATGCCATTTAAATAAACTGATGACGTAATATGTCCATGGTTGATGTAGCAGACGATATCCGGTGAGTATAAAGGGTTCTCTCATTGGAACCGGAACTTTGGACGAGGGAAGGGTTTTGAAAGTCATCTTGTACTGGAGGTAGGAATTATATCCCATACAACCTGAAATAATAAATCATTAACATTTTAAAATAAATATAAATCAAAAGTCGCCTGGTGATTGGTAGGCCTATACTCGGATGCGTCACCCACGACAAGTCGGCTAGTATCGACAATAGTTTTCTTACACAGGGCCATCGGGAGAATTTTTATGTGCTATGGAAATACTTTGACCCGCCCCTCGTACAACTGTGTAAGGACTATGTAAATTAAATATGGTTTCTAACATTACCGTTCCATAGCCAGAGTAGGACATCGGCCGGGGGATCCGTGGCATAATTACTTTTCATGCCGATGTAAAAAAAAATAAATATAAGTTTATGGGCACCAAGGGGCTTTATGGACCCCGGGGACGATATACCGACTACACTCATCAGGACTGCCCCCCCCCCCCTGCTCCGAACGACTAGACAGCTGTCCTTGTCAGGACCTCCGTCCTCCGGGAAATATCAAATCAAATGAAGGGAGAGCTCTGAGCCTACCTTGGAGTATAATTTATTGCAACAACGTCATGCAGTTTGTTATAATATGAGGGGTTCGATGGCCGTATGGTTAGCGCGTGAGCGCTGTATCATAAGGTCTTTCATTGGGTCAACTGGCGTGGTTTCGATTTCGATTCCCATGTTGTACGTGACATAAAGTAAGGTCGCCTGTCCAACCTTGTGGGTTTTCTCCGGGTCCTCCAGTTTCCTCCCACTGCTAAATTGAACAATATGTTAGTCCCGAAATGTTTCTCTCTCTCTCTCTCCCTCTCTCTCCCCATCTCTCTCTCGCTCTCTCTCTCTCCCTGAGGGGAACTGTGTCCACCTATACTTTTCTTCGAATTCAAGGGATCTTTAACGTGTCATGGCCACTGCCATGCACCACTGACAAGAGGAAATCACGTTGAAATATCTTATGGAGGTTTCACGAACCCGGACCGCCTTGTTATTGTGAAATGATTAGAATCAGACGCCATTGTTGATTTAAATGATTAATACTTTGCTTTTTGAAAACTAAGATCGGTGATATTTTGTTCATCGTGGTGTTTGCGAATAAAATAGAATTACGTGAAATGGGGTTTAACGTCCTACTTTTCTGTGCGAATTGGGCTAAAGAAGACGGAGATACACCATGAGTGAAATTTTGCCTTGGCAGCAGCGTTACGGTCTATTCTTATTTCGAATTCCAACTGTCAAGGGTTCTTTTACGTGCACGCCAATGTGTACACGGGACCTCGGTTTTTCGTCCCATCCGAATGACTAGACAGCTGTCCTTGTCAGGCTCTCCGTCCAGCACCACCGACAAGGGGAACCGTGTCGGAAATTCCGTGGTTCCAATTGCCAATAAAAGTATAGCAATTTTGTTATGCACACTCAGTCTTACTAGAAAGCTGTGAGACGTGCACAAGATAAAACTTTGAGGGTATCCCTGAAGGACAGCATATCTCCTCGAGTTACGTAGGGGGTGCTTCTTATACGTTCATCTACTTGTGGAAACATTGAGAGAATAAAACGTCAAGTAGACTTGGTGATTAGAGAGAGAGAGAGAAATGGGGTTTAACGTCCACTCGACACAAACTAGGTCATTTCGGGACTAACATATGGTTTAATTTTATTTCTATAATTCGCTTGCGCGTAGGGGTCTTTAGCAGTGGGAGGAAACCGTAGGACCCGGAGAAAACCCACGAGGTTGGACAGGCGACCCTACTCCTTGTCACGTACAACCGGGGATTCAAAACCACGCCAGTCGACTCAATGACAGACTTTATGATACAGCGCGCACGCTAACCATTAAGCCATCCAACCCCCCACTTAGTGATTAAACAGCAGAAAAATAAGTTGACAGAGAATTTACGCAGGCTTCGATATTTATTGTAAATGAATAAGCTGTTAATGAATTCTCCCCCCCCCCCCACCCAACACGTCACGGCTGATAAAAATAGATTCTCGCGACATGGATTAACCTCTCCCCCAAATTCTTAAACCTTACCCTGGACCTACCCTAACCCTAACCTACAATCTCGCCAACAATCACGTGCCCTAACCGTATATACATCTCAGCGACTTTGACGAAAATTGAGTTGGCCTTAACAAATAGAATTACCCGAGTAGATACGCATACAGTTTTCAGGCTAGTGTAACTGCTTGAAGAATAAACGAATTTCCATAGCAACCACTGTTCATTTTCACAGAACATTAATAATAAAATAATTATGTCAAATAAAATCAATAGTTTTTATAATAGACCTACTTATATAGAACCACAATCAATACAAAGCTACTTTGTATACACAATAAACGACCGGTTTGAAATAAAATTGGTTTAAACAAGCATTATTTCGATTTTGTTCTCTTAAACCTAAATATGCATTATGCAAGAGCTAAATATGCCTATTGCGGGTCGTTCTTTAGGCCTGAAAAGTTATATAAACTATTAAAGATACATTATGTAAGATTTAGATAAAGATCTGACCATTCGTGCTACAATAGCTTAAAAATAGATAATGCAAAATGAAAGTATTGAAAATTTCATTTAATTTACTTCATTATGAGCCAAGTTATCCCTGTATGTAGTTTTGACAAGATGTGTGCATTGTGGTAACCACAGGGCGCTGGTATATTCGAGACTTAGCCTCGCTTTCCCATTTTTAAATTAAATTTTTAAATGGCGAACCGTTCTCATCTATTTACAATCTCGAGTATTCGATGCCATCGAGAGTTGATTATGGTTTGGTTTTGTTAATAAATGTCTTATTAATAGTTTATATAACATTTCGGGCCTAAAGAAAGACATGCAATAGGCAGATTTAGCTTTTGCATAATGTATGTTTAATTAGACATTTATCAACATGACAAGACCATAATCAACTCGCGATGCCATCGGATTAGAACGGTTCGGTCATTTAATGATTTAATTCAAAACTAGAGGAGCGAGGCTAAGACTCGACTGACTAGTACGGTGGTTATGATCAATGCACAAATCTTGTCAAAACTACAACCATTGATAACTTCGCTATAAATTAAGTAATTTGAATGAAATTATTTATTTTTTAAATATTATAGCGAGAACCGTCAGTTCTTTATTTAAATCTTACATAATGCCCATTTAACTGAACGTCCTACTGTTATGTCCCGACTGGGTTCATTAAGACCAACATACGCCATGAATGTGTTAAGAGTGTTGTTTTATACGTACACGCCAATGTGTACACGGAACCTCGCTTTTTGGGTCCCATCCGAACTACCAGACAGCAGTCCTTGTCATGTACTGTGCCCTGCACCACTGACAAGGAGAAACCGAGTCGGAAAATCACGAGGACAATAGGCCCTATATGCGCGGCCAATTTTGCCTAGGTCTTCCATATTGTTGCCTAGGTCTAGGTCTGCCATATTCTAGTATCTACGCAGGTCTGCCATATTGTTCCCAGGTCTGCCATATGTTGCCTATGTCTGCCACAGATTTGGTTGAAATAGTAGCAATTTGTATGTCGACCTATATGCCTAACTTGCCTCTTTAAAGATAAAATCTGTTTTCAAATTTTCTTTCTTCGTTTGTTGATCCGGCAACAACGTCCGCGCAACTATGATGACGTCATTTGTGATTACACGACATCAAACAAAATAATGGCTAGAAACAAACTAATATCAATGGAAAAATTTTTAGTAAAACGAAATGAAATGGGGTTTAAAGTTCAACCAAATAAAATGGGATGGGGTTTGGCGTCTTAATTTCCTGTACCAAGTAAAGAAGACGCGCAAACGACATGCGGGGCCACGGTCGCTAAGTTGGCTTGCTAGGAGAGGTCCCGTGTTCGATCTCTGCAATGGCCGATAAAGTTGTCAGTGATGCACGACAGAGGACCCGAAAAGGGACAACGTATAGTCGTTCGGATGGGACGAAAAACAGAAGTCCCGTGTACACTCATAGCACATTGCATGGTGTATGTCGGTCTATATAAAAGTAGGTCGTAGCGCCGCTGTCGGGGCTAAATTCCCCTCATAACACACTGTATGGTATATGCTGGTCTTCATTAGCCCAGAGCAGAACAGTAGGACGTTAAACCCCATTTCATTTCATTTGCATACGACATGCAGCGTGCTAGACATTTTGCCAACTTTAGGGGTCAACCCTGGTTGTCCTGGCTTTAAACATCCTACAAGGACCAACAGGGACTCGGTGAGTAAGGCACTCCGGATTCCGTTCGATCCCGGTGTTGGCCCCAAAAGTTCCTGCAGATTTTCTAGCCTGATTTCTACTTGGAAGTGGTTCGGGACGGGAGGCACAGCAAGGAAAGAATTAGGTCGCGTTGGCATGGACGTAAAAAAACTTTAAAACCTGTCATGCTATCACTCTGTTAAAAGCCACAGACCTTAAGACCTGCCGAGGAAAGGACTTATTGTTTGACAACTTGGCTGACATCGTTAAAAACCATAAGACGATCGGTCCTAAACCTCCGTACATCCCACGACTAGGGGGTCTGGTACAACATGGCTGGAAAGACCACGACTACCAGGACAAAACGCAGTACTGACATGGTCGCAAGTAATCGATGCTCCAAATACGACTGGGGATCTGGGGCATCGCTGGAGAGAGAGAGAGAGAGAGAGAGACAGACAGACAGAGAGAGAGAGAGAGAGAGGTGGTGTTTAACGTCCACTCGACACAAACTAGGTCATTTGGTTCAATTTTATTGCAATAATTCGCTTGCCCACAGACCTTATGATACAACGCGCACGTGTTTACTATTCGGCCATCCAACCCCCCTTACGCTGGAAAGAACAAAATGCACTACTGACATGATCGCAAGTAATCGCAGCTAGGACTTACGATCGCGTGCGTTATAAGATGGTATAAACTGTACTTACAGAAAGACTTACCTTTTGTTTTAGCTACAGATCGACATCGTACACGTTCATACTGCTAGACATACATCGATAGGATGGATGCACCTTAAAGCTGTACGTCGCTAAGCGTAACGATCACAGTCTCGCGCTCACTAGGTTACATAGAACAGTTTCTTGTATTCCAAATAAAGTTTATTGATCTGAGATGAAGGTCGGTGGTTTAGATAAACCATGCCATTATTCCCCTTCTGTTAGAACTACTAGTAGAAGGCAATCCCAATCAATCAATACAAACTCCATTCTCTACACATCGTCTATTTTGGTGGATTAAAACAGACCACTCTCTTTGCACAGTCACCACGACGTTCATCAAGTTCATCCAGTAGTGATTTTTGTTATTTCCTCTTTGTGTGAATATTAATCTATGTTTGGCATAATATACGGTTCCAATTAGATCACATGAGTATAGCTGAGTCGCGTGAGATGTTTCCAAACCAGGGGAAGTAACTCCATGTCCGCGCCCGATCGGTCTGTCGAGTTCAAAGTTGATTGATAGGATGCATGATTGGGATAGAAGCTTGTGATTGGTATAGGATTATAATACGGCTATTTCTGTTGGGTTGGGTTTGGAATAAACTAATAAATAATATAAAACGGATCAATTTAGGAGCTATGTCGTCCACCATGTCAACAAACCCACTGTAGACAATCAATACCCTAGCTTCATATAAGGGGAGTTGGGTAGCTGAATGGTTAGCGTCTGCGCGCTGTATCATAAAGTCTGTCATTGAGTCAACTGGCGTGGTTTCGATTCTCCGGTTGTACGTGACAAGGCGTAAGGTCGCCTGTCCAACCTCGTGGGTTTTCTCCGGGTTCTCCGGTTTCCTCCCACTGCTAAAGACCCCTACGTACAAGCGAATTATTTAAATAAAATTAAACCATATGTTAGTCCCGAAATGACCTATTTGTGTCGAGTGGACGTTAAACCCCATTTCTCTTTCTCTCTCTTGCTTCAAATGCTATCGGGAGCCACGTTGGCTAAGTGGGTAAGACGCTGGCTCGCTATCCTGGAGGTCGCGGGTTCGATCCCTGCATTGGTCGAGAAAGTTCATTGGGATTTTTCGACGTGGTTTCCCCCTTGTCAGTGGCACACGTAAAACAATCCCTTGGCAGTTGGAATTCGATATAAGAGTAGGTCATAGTGCCGCTGCCTGGGCAAAGTTTACCTCATAGCACACTGTATGACGTATGTCCGTCTTCATTAGCCCAGTATAGGAGCAGAAACCTCCTTTCATTTCAAATACTATCGTGGCCCAGGTAGGAAGGATTTTGTCTGCGAAATCACTCTAGGAGGAAGCGGACGTTACGCCACACTGACTGACTGGGTGGAAGGATTGTCTGCGATGTCACTCTCGGTGGAAGCGGACGTTGGTTGAGAATATTCTGCGATATTCTACAGCGTATTTTCGGTGGTACAGGATGGGGATCATTTCAAGGACGAGTGTCTAGTCGTATGCAAGGGACAAAAACGTAAAACAACTCTTAACAGTTGGAATATTAGGCGGTAACGCCTACGTCCAGTCGTAAGCCCAATGGGCGTGGTGTACGCTGATTTGAGTCGGGACGCAAAAACTCTAAACCCCTTCACTTGGCCCCTTGAAGGGATATGGTTCACTTGGCTTAGGGTAGGAGCCACGGTGGCTAGGTGGTTAAGACGCTGGCTCGTTAGCATGGAGGTCGGGTGTTCGATGCCTGCATTGGCCGAGAAAGTTCGTCGGGATTTTCCGACGTGGTGCAGAACAGAGGGCCTGACAAGGACAGCTGTCTAGTCCTTCGGATGAAAAGAAAAACCGAGGTCCCGTGTATACATTGGAATGCACGTAAAAGATCCCTTGACAGTTGGAATTCGATATAAGAGTAGGCGATAGTGCCGCTGCCCGGGCAAAATTTCCCTCATTGCACACGGTATGGCGTATGCCCGTCTTCATTAGCCCGGTATAGGAGCAGAACAGTAGGACGTTAAACCCCATTTCATTTCATTTCATGGCTTAGGGTTAGATGGTTGTTATTGTGCAATAGACGGGTCCTATCATGTTTCTGTAGCAGTATGTGGGGTTGGATGGCCGAATGGTTTGCACGTTCGCGCTGTATCATAAGGTGTATCCCCGGTTGTACGTGACAAGGAGTAGGGTAGCCTGTCCAACCTCGTGGGTTTTATGCTTTGGGGATAGATCACTGGCCTGGATAGCCGCCATATTCAAAAATGGGTATTCTATTTTGTAATGCGGTTAAATCTTTCATACCCACACAGACTGAATAAAAGATTTTCAGTTTTATTAAATAAAATAAGTATAAATACTTTTCAAAATTCTCGAAGTATAGTTACATGTAATGTTTTCGACATAAAATCATCCATTTAGTACTAAAAATGTCGGTCACCCAGCTTCGTGTCTCTCTTCGAGCGGAGCTAATTGAAGACAGATAGCGTATGTTTCGTATGGCCTAGCCCCTGTCTTCTAAATGAGAGATTTCAAGGCTTCCACGTCTTATCTTTTCTTTTTCTGGTACGAATGATTATTGCGCATCTGATTATTGCGCATTATATTATTGCGCATGAATTGTTCAAATTTTTGAGAATTAGACACAATGAGCGGTAGATAATATATAATGATTAGCGTATTAATATTAAAAAAAATAATAAAACCCATTAAACCACTTCTAAAATTAAAAACAGAATGCTGAGATTGTCCCTGTTCTATGTCTATTCGTATAGCAACGAGTTGCATAACAATGGTTGCTAGGGAACAATAGTGAAATGTCTGATGACTCTGACCTATGTTGTCATAGTTACCAGGTCTCCATTTTTCAGGTAGATGCGTTGAATACACTGCAGCAGTCAGTATGAACAGACAATACACCAAACTGATGTGATTCAGTGACGTCAAACTACATCCGTTGTCATAGAAACACCTCCGGTATCTAAAAATGATTGGAGTCGACACCCAAACAGCATATATTACGTATGGAACAATCATAAGACACTTACGTTGCCACGAAAACGGATTGGTAACTTTTAACTTAGCTATTACAGTTAACAGGAAAGTTACGGTTCCTAGGACAACGGTTACAGGAATGTAATAATGTTCTAATACCGAAAAAATGTATGGTTCTGAGCAAATATAGAGCGAACCCACTGCTGTAGAATACGCATAAAGAGCGATGCCTGAGTAGTCGAAAAGGAAAAATACGTAATGATATTTAACGGACTTCGAATGCATTAAATGCGCAAACGCACTAAGTGACGTCATGGATACACAGCCAATAGAAAACATCAATATTTTCTTCCCGTCTTCATTGGATAAGAGATCGTACGTTTGTCCGTAATATAAAGTTTGTAGGATTATCAAGATGGCGGATAACAGATGGGACCAGACGGCCAGGGTTTCATTATGCCATTTAAGTAAACTGATGACGTAATATGTCCATGGTTGGTGTAGCAGACGATATCCGGTCAGTATAAAAGGTTCTCTCATTGGAACAGGAACTTCAGAGGCTGGCAGCGTTTTATAAACCATGGTTCAATGATCTCAAACACCTTCAACCTGAAAAAATAAAGTTAGGCTTTAATTTATTGCTTAGCATATACAGAGTCGGGTCACGGTTGCTGCAACATGCTGCAACAGTGAAAAGGGGGCATATAATGGTCATTGACAGAGAGAGATTAATATATGATTCAATTTTATTTCAATAATTCGCTTTCGCGTAGGGATCTTTATCAATGGGAGGAGACCGGAGGACCCAGAGAAAGCCCACAAGGTTGGACAGGCGACCCTACTCCTTGTCACGTACAACTGGGGAATCGAAATGACAGACTTTATGATACAACGCGCACGCGCTAACCTTTCGACCGTCCACCCACCCTACAACATATAAATTAATTAAGGGTACTCGATTTTGTTTAGAATTAATGTGGAAGCCCCTTTAAGGTCCCCCATAGCACAATACATGGGTTATGCCCGTCCTCATTATGCCCGGTTGGTGCAAAAAAGTAGAGCATTAAATCTCATTTCATTTCATTTCTCCTTAAGGCGCTTCCGACGCGGTTTCTCCTTGTCAGTGGTGCAGGACGGAAGACCTGACAAGGACAGCTGTCTAGTCGTTCGGGTGAGACGAACAACCGAGATCCCGTGTATACATTGGCAGTTGGAATTCGATATAAGAATAGGGCATAGTGCCTTATAATACAGCACGCACGTGCTAACCATTGGGTCACCCCCCCCCCCCCGATTAAATCCAAGCCAGGAGATTTCCTACTGTCATACGGCCTCTCATTGAGTCAACTGGCGTGGTTTCGAATCCCCGGTTGTACGTGACAAGGAGTAGGGTCGCCTGTCCAACCTGGTGGGTTTTCTCCAGGTCCTCCGGTTTCCTCCCACTGCTAAAGACCCCTAAGCACAAGCGAATTATTGAAATAAAATCAAAATTAAAACATATGTTAGTCCCGAAATGACCTACCTTGTGTCGAGTGGACGTTAAACCCATTTCTCTCTCTCTCTCTCTCTCTCTCTCTCTTCTCTCTCTCTCTCTCTCTCTCTCTCTCTCTCTCTAATATTACCTAGTGCCGCTTTAATTAAATAATCAGTTTCAGTACATTTCAGGGTGGGTTAGCCTGAAATTACACAACGTCGGAAAAATGCAGATAACGTTTAGTGCCTTTAGGAAATGAAATGAAATGGCATGGGGTTTAACGCCCTACTGTGCTGATCCGACTGGGATAATGAAGACGGACATACACCATTCAGTGTGCAATGAGGAAAATTTTGGTCGGGCAGCGACACTATGGCCTACTTTTGTATCCGCGAATTCCAACTGCCAAGGAATCTTTTACGTGCACGACCATGTATACAAGGGACCTCGTTTTTTTCGTCCCATCCGAATGACTAGATAGCTGTCCTTGTCAGGTCTTCCGGCCTGCACCACTGTCAGTGACAATTAGTGGAAACCACATCGGATAAAATTAAGTGTAAATCGACTCGTTTTATCTGGGTCAACCGCGATATAGCAGGATATAGGGGGGCCTATAAATATGTGGTTATATACATATACTACACGATGTACGTGAAACTATATATATATATAGCCTCACCATGCCCATTCACATGTGAATTATATACACGATTTGCTCTACTGACTTTAATACTTATACAAACCTTTATCATTCTCTTTCTCTAGTGCTTTTTAACGTAATTACGTCACATTCATTTCAGGTTGTTTTTCTTTTTAATTTGGTAACAGAGTTACCGTTCCTGCCTGCTTCGTTGTGTCGCGAGGTGAGTCTGTGCAGTCAATAATTCCAGAGATTTTGTGTCCTTTATTAACGCCACGGCCTCGACCCACTGTAGTCTTGTTCACTGTTATTTACTTCCGGCTTCTATTAATCGCTCGGGGTTTACCGGCCGTTCAAAATGAAATGAAATGGAGAGAGAGAGAGAAATGGGGTTTAAAGTCCACTCGACACAAACTAGATCATTTCAGGACTAACATATGGTTTAATTTTATTTACATAATTCGCTTGCGCGTATGGGTCTTTAGCAGTGGGAGGAAACCGGAGGCCCCGGAGAAAACCCACGAGGTTGGACAGGCGACCCTACTCCTTGCCACGTACAACCGGGGATTCGAAACCACGCCAGTCGACTCAATGACAGACTTTATGATACAGCGCGCGCACGCTAACCATTCAGCCATCCAACCCCCCGAAATGAAATGGGTTTTAGCCTAACTAGCTACGAGAACGTTGCTAAAAACGTTGAGATATATTACTGATGTGTTTGTTTTTAGCTACGAATAGATGCCTTAGTTCCAAGTGGCAAACTCAATATCTTTATTAATAATTAATGCACGTAACATCTTAAAAATAAGACGATTTTATACTATTATGACCAATTAAACTTACAGAGCCCATTGTAGTGGCACTCCAAATATTCGCGTTTAAATTAAAGAAGCGTTGTTTTTATCCGACATACACCGTCATACATCTCTCGTTTAAAAATGGTATCGATTTTAAATACGATGATTTATACCCGTTTCAGGTAGGATTAGATACTTAATTGTAGTTGGGTGTGGCAGAAATATTATAAATAGCAATAGTCAATCGATGTTTTGGTGAAAAATATTGTCAATTTTGCTCACTGAGGCCCGATGTGATTTGCGTTGGGCTTTGCTACGTGGAAATATATATCACTATATCTTATCTCGAAACACGGAGGGTTGAGAGATGAGGTTTGTTATCTAGGGTTTAACGTCCTACTCTTATGCTCCGACTGGGATAATAAAGATGGGCATACGCCATACAATGTGCTATGGGGGAAATTTTGCCCGGACATCGCGGCACCACGGCCTACTCATATATCGAATTCTAACTGCCAGGGGATCTTTAACGTGTACACGGGACCTCGGTTTTTTCGTACCATCCGAAGGACTATACGTTATCCATTGCCAGACCCACTGTCCTGCGCCACTGACAAGGGGGAACCACGTCGGAAAATCTCGACGAACCTTCTCGGTCAACGCAGGGATCGAACACGAGACCTCCAGGTTGGCAAAGTAACGATTTATCCACTGAGCCACCGCGACTGCCCCGTAATATTCACGTACTTGAACAGTAGGACGTTAAACTCCATTTCATTTCATTTCACGGAACATCAATCTAAGGGACATAACTCCATTTTGAAAGAACGACACTAGGATTCTGACTGCTAACCACCATTTCAAATTTACTACACGTTACCACTCGGCAAACCTCGGCAGATTCCGGTACCCTACAGTCTAGCCTCGGCTGTATGACGGTAAGTTCTCACAATTGCGTCGTTCGAAGAGTGTGTAGAATTTTCAGTGCAAACTTGTCCTTGTCTATAGAAAATCGGATAAACAGCTTCAAACTTTGAAATATGTGTATGATAAAACATTCTTCAAGGGCGTTGTAAAGGGCAACGCCGTTGATAATCCGGGAACTTGAAAGTAGCTTCAATGGCAGACTTCGTCATACAGCCAAGGCTAGAAGTAGGGTACTGGAATCTGCTGAGGTTTGCCGAGTGACGTGGTACAGCATGTCACGAATATCTGATAAAAACATTTTTCAGGGACAATCAATGAACGTAGCGTTGTACCACTCAATTTGACATACCACCTTGCATTGGCCGAGAAAGTTTATCGGAATTTCCCTTGTCAGTGGTGCAGGACGGGGGGCCTGACAAGGACATTTGTCTAGTCGCTCGGATGGAACGAAACCCCGAGGTCGCGTATACACATTGGCCTGCACGTAAAAGATCCCTTGACAGTTGGAATAAGAGTAGACCATAAGTTCAATGAAGGCCGTATACAGGGTGGTGACGACCCCGGTTACGTCATATATGTATAAAGCTGATGAGAGCATCTGTGCGTATCCTTGAAGTTTATAAAATTGTGCAGGGGCCATAAAAGCTCCTCGGTATCCCCAGTGTTCTCATTCCGTTCTACTCCAATATACCCTGGGATAATCCATAGGGTTTCCACGATTTCAAATTATCTGCCCTGGCCTTGATTGTAGCTTGAGTCTACGAACCAATCAAAAACAGTTTTACAAACCATCCTTACTAATGAAACGACCTTCGTTTTGCGTTCGTTTTTATAACGGTAGATAACCATATTTTTGTCAATTTACTGAATGATTTATGTAAATAATGTATATATTTCTAATTCATTTATATTTAAATGTATTATCAAATTCTGTAGTATGTGTCGCCGATTTCAAATATTATAACATGATTATGTTGCACTTTTGTTATAATAAATATTATTCGTTCTCTTTCTGAAATATTTCATAAACTTTTACCATTCTGTTATGTTTATTATTATTGAACTTATACTTGATAATTTCTTCTGCAGATTTTAAAATTTGTGTTAAAGATGGTATATATATTGAAAGTAGAAATATCCAATCTTACTAGAAAAATACTCATGAAGCGTATACGGGACAAAAATGTAAGGGTTCCCCTAATCTACATCCCAACGATTAGGAATTTCTGCATCCGTGATGTCAAAGGTCACACGCGAACATTGAGCGCTTGATGTACAAGTTGATAAACTTTATGAAGAGTTAGACGTACAATACTTTCTGAGATAAAAATGACGGAAAAAGACGCGGGTAGTGGATAATCCGAGAATTTAATTAGGATTCGATATTTGTAATAAATAGTGGGATCACGTGGCTAAGTGGGTAAGACGCTAGCTCGCTAGCCTGGAGGTCGGGTGTTCGATCCCTGCATTGGCCGAGAAAGTTCATCCAGATTTTCCGGCGTGGTTCTCCCTTGTCAGTGATGCAGGACGGAGGGGCTGACAAGGAAAGCTGTCTAGTCGTTCGGATGGGACGAAAAACCGAGGTCCCGTGTACACATTGGCGTGCACGTAAAAGACCCCTTGGCAGTTGGAATTCGATATAAGAGTAGGCCGTAGTGCCGCTGTCTGGGCAAAATTTCCTTCATAGCACACTGTATGGCGTATGCCCGTCTTCATTAGCCCAGGTTAGGAGCAGAACAGTAGGACGTTAAACTCCATTTAATTTCATTTCATTTTGTAATAAATAGTAAGCGATTAAAGACAACATCGTCTTGAATGTGAGAATGATAACTATGATCGAATAAAAGTGAGTTGAGCAACCTATTGAGCAAAAGACACAGAAATATTTATGTTTTGACTTTCTTAGAAAATATGAAATTCTCGCTTTAATATATAATATAAATATTATAATTTGATGTTAATAAATTATCATTTAGCATAATTTGGCCTTCTGTCATTTTTTGTTGAGGAGAATTGGGCTACTTTCTGCCTTTGCATTTTGGCCACAGATCACTTATTATTTCCCCCATTGACTTTATTGTTAATTCTTGGCTCTTAGACCGGCTCTAACTTTTTCCAAATTTTCGTTGGGTAAAACACGTTCTGCCACAGATGGAGCAACATGTGGCAACCTCTTGCGCAAATGCATGTATGAGGTTCACAATGGAAAACTTGAGATACACAAGCTGGAAGTAGATGAGTAAACATGCAATTTTCGACCCTACATTTCAGCCTAACCAACCTCTCAACTCTTGTATCCTTCCGCCTCAAAATCATGAATATTCACCAAAACCTGTCAGGAAATGTATTTTCAAACCCTTTTCTTCGATTCTACCCCACAAAGTCAACAAAAAATGTCATGCAAAAGGTGGAGGTGATTGACGGCGTAGGAATATTTGGTGAGCTTTGTCCTTTTGCTTACTTTACAAGATGAGACTTACTTCCCTTCGCCAACTTCCGTTTCTGTATCTATGGATATACAGCACAGGGTCCTGTGCATCGATCTATTAGCTCTGGAGTGTAAGAGTCTCAACAGTGGTGCAATGCGTTGATGTGTCTTGTAGGTGGTTCCAGTCTAAAGTTATTTTGTAAAAGAACGAGTTTCGAAATATAGTGATGTTTTAGTCGTTTGAATTTTAAAGCATTTAGAATTGTTAAATGAGAACTTCTCCATAAGGTTTGGATGATCAAAGTCACTGAAATCTTGAGTCTTAATCCTGCGTTTATTTCCAATTGGTGTAATAAATTCCTGAGGGGGCAATGATGGTATTTGCAACAAAGTACTCTTTAAGTTTCATCACATTGAACGGTCATCTAGGTGCCAGGAACTTTATGTCCTCAGCTGCTTGATAATATATATAATATTGACCTTTTAACTCTATATGCACTGTTCTTAAGTCACGATTGTCTGTGTTGTAGTTAAACATGTAATTAATTCAATATGTCCTTTACAGGCTACATATGATCTGTGCACACGTTCCGCTTTACTTCAAAGGAATATGCACTTTTCAGTAGCATGCCGTGAAGAGATAAAAGAGACAATTGCATGTATGACCATGTGTCGTCATAGGCGTACGAGCTGGGGGGGGGGGGTGGCGGCCGCCCCCCCCCCCCATTTTGGGCACCAAATGCTGGGAAAATTTGTGCACACAATTGTACTTTGTAAAAGTTGTATAAAAAAATATTGTGTTTTAGAATGTGTCCAATTTAACAGCGAATTTAAATTCAGAGTGTCTATAGTTAGGCAATTAAATAGAAATCTTAAGACTCGAACCCTCTATTGTTTGGAGTACAGTAAGCCACGAGTTACAGTTACATAAACAACTGTTTTTAGTTGTGTATATTACAAGTATATAAAATTTAGTTCTCTTTTATTGATGATTTAGAAATTAAGAACTTATTCATCGCAAAAGAGATATTATTATTATTATTATTATTATTATTATGTAACATACTAAGAACCTAACTACATTTTTGGGGCACCAACCACCACCGCCCCCCCCCCCCCCCAGTCAAAAATTTCC